TTTTTTACTATTCAAAATATCTGAAATTTGGAGTGTGTGTACATCTTAGTGAGTCGTACCTAATAAAAATATGAAACAAATAATTTGTAAAATATAAATTGATCAAAATAGCCTCATAAATTTTCATGGGTATTTTGATTAATTTCTATTTTGTGAATTATTTTTTTTATATTTTTATTAGGTACGCCTCACTACATACACTCTAAATTTCAAGTAACTTGGATTTGTAGACAAAAAAAAATGAAAATTGAAACACTACCAGAAACCTATGACCATGCGGTAGGTGAAATCACTGCTCATTTTCGCCTATAGGCTTTGGGAAGTGTTTTCCTATATATGTATGTGTGTGTGTGTGTATATATATACTTATTTGCAGAAAAACTCAAAGATAGATTGAGAAAGAAACATAATGAAGTTATAGTATACTCGGCATATACACTTGGAGAACTATCAGCAAAAATATGTGCTGAAGGATTAGCTTTATGTACTGATCTTAAACTCAAAAGACAGTTAGATAAACAACAAATTACCAAGCGTAAAGAACTTGGTGATTTCTGTGAACAATTTGGATACCATTTAGATAGAAAAAAAAAACCTGAAAAATTATATAAGAAAAAGAAAAAATACAAAAAGGACAAATATAAATCTAAATCCAATAAAGTACATAAACAATATAAAAAGTCTAAACAAAAATTTATAAACAAATTTTCTCCAAATACTAAAAATAAAAGGAAACTTCCAGTATGTTATAAATGTGGAAAAGTTGGTCATTACAAAAACCAATGCAAATTAGAAAAGAAAATAGAATCATTACACTTAGATGAATCAATCAAATGAAAATTATATAATATAATAAATTATGATTCTATATCTTCAGATTCTACTGAATCAAATATAGAACATATTCAAGATGAAGACCTTTTATGGACAGAATCATCTGATTCTTCTACAGATACAGAAGCATCTCATCCAATGGAAGAATCTAATTGCACTTGGCTTATACCTACACATAATCTTCATATGCTTACTCAAGAAGATAATTTGATCTTAGACCTTATTGAGAAAATTACAGATCCAGAAGAAAAAAGATCTGTAATCACCAAATTCATTACTTTAACTAAAACAAAAGAAAAAATACCTCCTATGAGTAAAACACCTGATGAATACAATTTTGCCTCTATTATGAAAAGAATGAGTGAACAACATATTACAAACCAAAAAGAACCTTCTATTTCAGAATTAAAAGATGAGATTAAAGAAGTCAAAAAAGAGGTTCATCAATTAAAAAGCGGACAGGATAGCCTGCCAGCGAGCAAAAGTTAATAAGACCAAGCGCATCATTAATAGATCAGTTATTATCAAAATTAGCCCAATTAGATATCAAAAGAATCCTTTCTCCTAAACTCAGTATTCCTATACCAATACCCAATATACATGTTCCTTTACCAGAATCTTCAAATAAGGGAAAAACAAAAATATCAGAGCATGAAACAATGATGCTCCAAGAAGAGGAACCAGCTATAGAAGATACCATACAAACCAAGAATCTACTTTTATGGATACTACACCTATTGATATAAACAGAATCGCCTATGGTAAAACATGGAAACCAATCACAGCTTTACCATATTATAAGAGACTTACACTTGTTGATGTACAGCTTGAAGAAGATGCCATACAACAAGCTGTTTCCTATTCCGAAAGATCAATAGTTAATTGGACAATAGATGGTTTATCTGAATTGAAAATATTAGATGTCATGAGACATATGACAATGTTTGCTTCAGCAAACAAAATGGCAGGCAATCCCGACCAAGAGGTTGCCACAGCAATAGTAAATGGATTCACTGGCTGGTTAAGAGGCTGGTGGGATTTCTATGTGGATGATGAAACCATAAATAGAATCATTACCAATACAAGACAATGGACCGTCAGAAATGAACAAAATCAAGAAATAATTTATACTGAAAGTGATGC